AAAATGTTGTTTTTATTTAATTAGGCACTCAACATTGAGTGTCTAATTAAATAATAACAACATTTGGGTGTTATAAGGTCGTTTATTTCTAGTATTAATATGTCTTCTATACACCAATATGCACTACAGAAATTAAATATTGTTAGTGTGTAACACTTAAGTTTTTCCTTGCAGAATCAAGTATGAAGAGTGAATCAGTTGTTTTCAACTGGCAACATCAGTGTACATCTAACATGGGGTAATATTTGAAGAACAGAGCTTGTATCAACTGAAATCATTATCTGCTAGACTCCTCTATCGCAATTCATCAGTGACATGAAAGATACTCCAAACTTCAAATCCAGTATAATCTATTAACTGTATAACATACAGATTCAATTTCCGTATCATATATGGAAAACTTTCTGAAACGATAATTCCATGAACCCACAGAATAAAAGTCCTGTAGTGGTACATCATGGTATCTTATATCTGGCTGGTTGTTTTTGTTTTCTTAAAGTCACAAGTAAGTTAAAAAACAAAGTATAATTTTCTGAAGCTACAACATAATACAATCTTAGTTAGTACATATCAGACCTAATGGAGAGCAAAAATACCATTTACAATGCATCATGCAAATCTGGACTCCGATACACTGAATACGCACAAATACCAATAAAGGTTAGAACTCAAGATAATAATACACAAACACATAAGACTGTAATAATGATATTTCTGTAATAGCCCATCATGCCAGAGAAGAAGACTATACAATAACTTAGAATAATACTAATAAAAAAAGGTATATAAAACACACCTGAGGAAAACAAAAAATCCTTCTACATCCACCTAACTGATAATATACAGAACACAGAAGTCAATAAAACTTGGATACCATTCTGTAAAATATTCAAATAAGTTAGTTGATAAAAAATCCTAACGGAGAGGCTCCGGAAGAGTCGATAGAGCACTAGCCTTCCTTTTGAGAAGATCCTGGCCACTACTAATACAGACATAGCCTTTCACTGGACCTCAATGAGGACAATAGCAGAGTAGCACCCAAAACATGGGTTAAAAAAATTATAATTAAGAAAAACATTAATAATTATACTTAGATGATCCCATAGGTCACTAGCCATCTTAAAAATTAAGTTTTTTATTCACTTCAGTAAATATAATATTCATAATATGAATATTTTGATATTTTAAAAAGTTGATTACATTACATATACATAAGTAGAAAAAATACTATTCCATATATAAACAGAAGAAAAAAATGTGTGTTAAGTACACTTCAGTTTTGGAAGATAAATATCTCCATAAAGTATTCTGTTTATAATTCCTCTAAGAGTACATTGTGTGCTAATCTTTGCCCCTGTCACTAGTTAGATGCATACAACTATGCAGAAATAGGTAGGTTGTGTCCTAAACATTATGGCCATCACTACTTAAATATGTACAACCACTTCAAAGGAGGAAGAATGTGTACAAAAACATTGCATCTGTTTAGACGTGTACAACCATCCCCAGAAAAAGGTAGGTTGTGTGCTATGCATCTGTTTAGATGTGTGTACAATCATCCCCAGGAAAAGGTAGGTTGTAGGCTATGCATTGTATTTGCTTAGATGTGTACAATCATTGCCAGAAAAAGGTAGGTTGTGTGCTATGCATCTGTTTAGATGTGTACAATCATCCCCAGGAAAAGGTAGGTTGTAGGCTATGCATTGTATCTGCTTAGATGTGTACAATCATTGCCAGAAAAAAAACAAAAAACAGATAGGCTGTGTGCTATGCATTGCATTTGTTTCTGTTTAGTGTGTATTGGCAGCCACACAGGCTAGGCATATTTACATCATGGTCTTCCAATAAAAACTATTTTAAATGCATTTTGTTAGTTTGTTTCATTAGTTGAAAATTAGTTTATTTTCACATCTACACATCAACATTACATGTAAAGCAATTTTTAACAATTTCTCATGATGACATAAACAGCAAATTCCTTTCTTAGATTTATTAAAAAAAACTTTATAGCATTCCTAAAAATTTCCGACTCCCACTTCTCAAGAGCAGTACACCATTCTGTTATGAAGCAGATATGTTCTCAGTATACAAAAACTACTGAGCTAAAGCTTGTAGATGCTGAATGATTATACGACAATACTTGGAAAACTTGACAAAATGTAAATATTGTATAGAGCAGAAAGCTTAAAAAGATTATAAATATTAATATTTTCTGAACGATCACAGCCAGCGAACTTATTAGTTAAAGCAACGTATTTCAATTACACATACAGCAAGAAATATCAACATACCAAAGATTACTTAAGTACACATGAAATCACTGAAACATAACAAATATGAAATGAATGAATCAATAATATACAAATCCAGTTTTGAAAATACACTATTATAAAATCTGTTACAAAAAAAAAAGATACAAAAACACTTTAAATTACAGCCTATTTTCATAAAAAACAAAACAAATAAAACTTTCGTGTTTTTGTTAACCCTAAGTAATTCACAACTTAACTAGGTCCAGATTGGTAATACATCTGCAGTATATATCATTTCTAAATTGTTTTCAAATTATGTAAAAAATATACTAGTGATATTGGTAATTTTTTTTTTTCCACTGAGAAGTTATTCAACAATTTTTGTCAGTATTTTCCATTTTCTGGTAGAGTCATTGTTTTTTTGTAGTATTTCCTGTTTTAATACATACAAAACAGATGTATAATAATATGGAAACATAAAATAAAACTATCCCTTCTATTAATTGTAATTGCATAGTAAAAATGTGTTTCAAGTGGTAATTCAATGTAGTAGATGTTTACGTGAGGGCCACTGAAAGAAGGTTTTCAGGTAAATAGAACAAAAGAAAACTATCATAAAAAAAAACGAATGCTTCTTCTTTGAAACCAAATCCCTACTGTTGTTTTGGATCTTGAAGGTGATGGTACTGATGCTTATGAAGCTCACCCGTTGTTCTCTTTGTTAAAACAGTTTTTATTTTTTCAGTTTGAAACCAAGTTTAGTTGTAACAGAAAGATCTGGCATACATCTACAGTAATTAAAAATAATTATGTCCTTTGGAGTTATAAGAACTGATTATAAGGCATTAAATAATAACCCTATCCATTTACAACATTGAAATACTTGTTTTATCCTAAGAATCTGCAAACAAAACACGGTTATTAAACTAAAGACCAACATCAATCAAAGGACTGTATTTTAACATTGTCATCTGTTGAGTTATAGAGTACATATACATAAATCAGCAGTTTTGAAACCAACATTACAAAGAAAAGTATCTCTTAATTCATATTCTTTAACAAATTTATCACTAGGATAGATCTTTCCAGCTCTATCAAAAGTAGTAGTTTTCAAATAATTCATCAGCATATCTTAACCAATGGAAAGAATCACTACTTTATTCAAATACTGACTAAAATAGGGCTATCTGAATTCATGCTGTTACCTTAATATAACATTTGGACATGTGATAATGTCTAACAAACTGGGCAAAATACATCATATTTCAAATCTCAATTTTTTATATTTATTTAACTATTTTTAATCAAATTTTTTTCTTAATTTGGGCTAGCTTCTTTATGATTTCTCTGGCTTAAATACAATACTAAAATCAAATAACTCTAGCTTGGTTACATTTACATAATTAATCCACAAATACTTCTTAAAACACTGGCTATGTAATAATATAGACTTATTCTCACATTATAACTTGAAATCTCGCAACTTTCACACATACAGACAAAAACAAATCACTTCAAACAGTGACTGGTTACACACTTCAATCTTTATATAATACATAAAAAATGATTCAACTTTTATCTTACGTAAATTTGTTTAGCATTTAGCTCAGTTTATTCCCACTTGACAGACTTTGATCATTAACTGCTACTAATATCAGAAAAGCTCAAGAAAGAATTTATTAAAGCTTAAATCTCATTAGATCTTACCTATTTCATGCATCTTCTTGTACAACTAAAAGCTTCCTCCTGCACTTCAACTAATGGATGAAAGGAGTAATAATTTGATTGAAAAACCATACTTGATATAAAAGTTCACACTTTTGGTTTCCATCAGTTGCTTGTTAGAAAGCTTTCTGAAAACTATTCAACTTTCAACAGTCTGCTCATTTGTACTAAAGAAAAGTAATAACCATTTAATTATGAGCAATAGTGGTTAAAAATTGTCTATTCTTCGAAGTTACAGTATATCAACCAAATTTCTTGGTATTCTAAAACTTTAATTGTCTAAGACTGTCAGAATATCTACTTTTTAAACTATAGATATCAATGTATTAAATAAATATATTTCTTTAAAAATTTCAGTAATAGACAATGCATCAAACAAATCTACATGGAATATTTAACAAACTTTGGTTTCATAACAGTACACATTTAAAGAATTATATTATTTTAGTTTTCATTTAAACATACAGAAGAAAAATTAGTAACACGAGTAAAAAGATTACATTCTATAATTCAGTCTTAAATGCTAATTTGTAGCAACACCTGAATTACAATAAATCTTAGAGAAATGCAAGCCTATAATTCTATGTTACAATTCTATCGAAAAGTAAGGTTCGAACTGTAGATGTATGAACATTTTTGTAAAAGAATTAATTTGATTAGAGCTATAACTATCTTCTTTCAAACAACTAACATACAAGTAAACTAATGCACTGCTTTTTCATTTCATTTGAATTAATGAATCTTGATAAAAATATTTCATTAACCAAGAAGAGAAAAACAAGACCTTTGAAATTATCATATAGGTTTATAACGTTTTAAAAGCACACACTCTATATCTTAAACTTACATATACATAAAAGTGATTGAATTAATGTTGGTTGTAATAAAACTACATAAATCAAAATTGTTGACTTAACAATTACCAGTGTTAGCTTACCAAACACAACATGAAAGCTATAATATTATAATGACAGCAATGTTCCCTCATTTTAAGTAAACACAACACACAAATGACACACTTTTATCTTTTTTTTTAATTTAACCAACAGTAGAATCTGAATTATTCTCAAAATGGCATATTATTTCATCTCAAAAATAACAATTAGTTTTGTATACCAGTCACATAAACAAAGTGACAAGAAAAAAATATACACAAATATAATCTTCAGCTATACTAGTTTTTAAATTAGTAAAACAATGTATGCATAAAATGTAACTATTTAGTACATGTTGCATGCACATAAATGCAAAATAAAAACTGAAAAAGGATGGTACACAAAGACTTAAGAGAGCTCTTTATTATGAATCATTATAATCTCTCTCGTTTATATTGTTTTTAGGTAAAATTTCACTGTAGCATCGAAAATAAATCACTATTAATGTTACTATAGAAACAAGATAAATAAAAAATCGTGAATTCAAAAACTGGTAAATAGGGATAATAAAAAAATGGAGGAAACAAGGATGGAGATCCTGTATATACATATTATTTACTCAAACTACAAATCTCTATTTTGACTCCACTAAATGTAATTTTAGGTAACAATGTGGAGCCAAATAGGGGTTTTTGGTTTGAGTAAATAATATCTACAGTATCTCCATCATTATTTCCTCACTTTTTTCTTTATGATCCTTATTTGCAGGTTTTAAATTCCCAATTTTTTATTTATCTTATTTGTTGGCTTTTTGTTATGCTCAGCTATGGGAAAGGATTACTTGATATGATAGCTAACGTTATACATTGTAATAATAATAAACATAGCTAATAGCTAGCTGATACGGTTCATGATGATTTACTGTAGCTATTGACTATTTCATCGCATTAGGTCGAGATGCAAAATATTAAGCTGCAGCTGGAGATTGTCATGGAGATTTGTTTGAGAATATAGTGAGCATTTATAGTTTCTGTGTAACTAATTCCCTATAAATAATGCATAGCAATGGACAAATATATGCCTAGACTATGACAAACCTCACTAAGTGCATATAATTTTTATCAGAAGAAAAGCAGCTTTTTCAAATAAAACATAAGCTTCTAAAACATCACTTTAAATAAACCTTCATGACTTTTAAAGTAATTATTCTATGAATGTGTGTAATAAAACTTAATACTATGTGTACTGATTTTTTTTTCTTTTTTACTCCTTCACTTCATACATAATATAGGGGTTGGCTCCCTAAAGACACCAATTATATAGTATACAAAGCATTGAGTATCTAGATGTTACAATCATCTAATGTTTATTTCTTGTTGGCTGGAAATTCCAGTTTCACCCTGTACTTATACTTTTTAAATGAACACTAAATATCTGTAAAAATATCTGCAAGAGGTAATGATAAGATTGTTTACACCATAATTATGATGCTTTTTAGGTTATGTAAAATATAGAAAAAACAAATCAACTTTTCAATACCCCTACGACTTTCGTAGTTATTTAGTATTCTACAAAAGGTTTGGGTGAAATATACCTAACCATTTTTGCTGTAGGCTTCAGTGCTTGAATGGCTTTGAAGAGAAACTTGGCCAGTAATGATGAAAAACTGATAAAAATCTCTGTTTCTCTTTCAAGAATCAACATAAAAAGAGTCCTATGACCTGTGCAGGAGTTTTTTTTAGTAGGCTTGCCCAGGTTTGAATATAATATTCAAATTAATTTTTTCTGTAGGCTTATGAAACAAGAATAATATGAAGAACAAATGGATGAATTTTGAATTTTTTCTAACAATCGGAAAGTTAACTTAGCCATTGAGAAAAAAAAAGGTCTTGAGTGTTGTTTCAAGAACAAGTCTGCTTTTTAAGATGATTTTTGCCCGTATGTTCTATTAGAATTTTTGTGAAATTCCTGGGTAATCCCTATTATGAATCACTATTGTAGTTCACGATACATATGGTTTCAGTCAAATTGCTGTAAGTTCTTTTAGTTTAAAGAATAATATTTACCTTTCAAATTGAGAGAATATGAAGAGTGGAAGTTAAAAAAAAAATTCCACATACAAATTTCATAAAGTTCGATTGGGTAACAATCCTTCTGACTGCCTTAGCTAGCCCTACAGTGTCCCAGCAGTAAGCTTGTAGACTTATAATGCTAAAAATCAAGTTTAAAGTCATAGTTGTGTGTCCCCTACTGACTCTACAGAACCTCCTTGGGACTGACCCCCCCAGTTTGCACACCACAGTCATAAGGGTTTGTTTGTTTGTAGTCAAGCACTTAGCTAAATTGATGAGGCCCACACAAACAAGCAAACAGACTTAGCTAGACTGATAACTCCAAGAACGAAATTCTAAGATGATCACTACACTAATGAGAGCTGATAACAACGAAAACTGGAGTTTTTAATTTAGTCAGGATATGGTTTTTCATTACTTAATGTGACATAATTTTTTATATTACAATAATCACTGGTTTCTAATTTTAGTAGCTAATTTCTACTTCTTACTTTTGTATCCTGAATAACACACAAACCAGTTACTATCTGGCTCCACTGTGATATCACAAAGTAGTGGAGCATAAACTTTATGATTCCCCCCCCTCTAAACATTCATCTTGTTGCACCCCCCTGCACTCTGTATAACTTATTTGTGTATATACTGTAGTGCCATTTTCCCATGTTAATTCTTGTTATTATATTACTTAATAGTACTACTATTATTTGTAAATTGGTTTTAAAACTTCTATTTTTTGAAATTCATAGTTTTAGATATAATTCATATGCTCTTAAAGTCATAGTTGTGTGTCCCCTATTGACTCTCCATGACCCCCCCCCTTGGGGCTGAGCCCCCCAGTTTGCACACCAAAGTCATAACAGTTTGTTTCTTCGTAGTTAAGCACAAAGCTAAGCAATAGGGTATCTGTGGTGTACCCACCAATGGTATCAAAACCTGTTGTTGTTTTTTGTATTATAAGCCTTCAGAGTTACTGCTGAGCTACTGGTGGAAGAGGATTAGTGAGAGTAAAACACTGATGACTACAATACAAGTTCATTTCCATTTCATACAAGTATAAATTTACAACACAAAACAGTATTTATAATAGAAGATCCATAGAAATACAGTATTTCTCACTTTACTCATGGGTTTTTATGAAGAAAAAAAAAGGCAGTTAATACATTTCTAAGACGGAGAAGATAGTTTGACCAGAAAAATAAACATTCAAATCCTGTTAAGTCAGCTTGAAGCATAAGGTTTTCTTTCAAGTCTTCATTCATCTTTCTTAACACTTGAACTACCAGTGATCATGTCTAGCTCTTCCTGCAAAATATTACAATAATCAACACAAGTAGTAATATAAGTGATAAAGGTTCTCAATCCTGAATCATTCAAAACTTGATCAGCAAGTTTAATTTAATCTACATATAGAATATATAAAAACTATGTGAAATCCTACAAAGATCAGCAGAGTTCAAAAGCCTTGTAAGGCCTGAAATTTACCATTGAAAAGTGATGATGGTTTTGAACTTTTTGAAGCAACACCCAAAAAAATATTTCAGTAAAACCTAATGTACCTGATAAAGGAAATTTCATTGAAAGAAAAAGGATTTTTGTTTTTATCATCGTATGTTCAACTCATTAAAATAAATTAACATGCAAAAGCTGTATGATTACTATATATCATAATTTTTTGCCTCTTGCGAGGATATAAAGAGTTTACAACTTTTTAGGGACACAACTTACCAATGGACAAAGCAAATCATTTAATAGGCAGACTCCGAACCTCATATATGCTGTATTCACTACTAAGCTATCTAATGTTATATACATACATTTCACTTAAATTCTGCTCCATTTCTAGAATGGTCTTCTTTATAAATATTTCTACCTCTTACTTAGTAGTCAACTATTATTTGTTATTAAACTGTTATCATTATTATTCATTTTCAAACATGATGTACTGATATTTCCATTAGCTGGATTTTAACAATTAAGTTACATTTACCACAATAGAAAACAAATCACAGTTTTGTGAGACTTAAGAAGTAAAACTTATTAAACTTTATTAGGTACCATGCAAAAACTAATATTTTTCATTTCAGTTATCTAATGGAGAATCTAAATTTATATATAAATACCCATCATCTTTATAAATTTCTAAGTTCCCAGCAATGCTCAATTAAGCCTGATTCATTACAGCTTCAATGGCAAATAACAGACTGTGGTGCAACTAAAATGCTAAGAATGTGTTTTTAAATGTTTTATTCTATCTTTTCTGTAAAACAATTCTTTCACATGCTTTTACTATTCTCATGTTAAATAGTTATGTCCTTTTAAATCTAATTTTTAATAATATATGCTTTAATATTTCTGAGTATTATATTCATACAATTTCCACCAATGAAATTTAAATTTCATTAAAGTTCGAAGAGCAAAGTTCAAAAAGTTACAATCTGCCATGTGCACTTATTTTCAATTCACAAATTTCCTTTTTTTTTTTTTACAAGAAACTGATTAGATTTATACTTTTAAAAATATCAAATTTGCTCGTGCTTTTTTCGTAAAAAAAAAAGGAAATATTCAGTTTCTATGTGTACATCTACAATTCTACAAAACAAAACACCTGACCAGTACATGTCAGAACTTGTTATTCTAAGATATCACAGTTTAAGATGCACGTTGTTCAATGTCAGGAAAAAACAACAACATCTCTACAGGTAGGTAAGTATGGAATAGTGCCAAAATAAATATTTAGTTATTAAATAATAATAAAAAAATACATATCACAACCCATTAAATGATTCTATAGATATTATACTCAGTAAGAGATTTTGAATCTGAAAATTAATGTGCTGTAACAACAAAATACCTGAAGTTTTGCATATTCTTTGACTAGCCTGTCATATTCCTTGTTAACAGACTCGGCTTGTGCTTTCATAGAGTTCCGGTCTTTTTTCAGATGTTCAAGTTCTTAAAAGGATGCATGAAAAAACCATTTTAATAATCCTTCTCTGTATATTAAAGAAAGGCATGTAAGATATATATTTAGTATGAATGAATACCCCAATAACACAAAACCTGTAGTTCTAACAAAAGTTTACATTTTTAGAATTAAAACGAATTTCAAACAAATACTTAACTTAGAAATATGGAAAACCTTTCCTCACTGAGCTTGAACTCGTGTTGTCAGCCAAACAAGTGCAAAGGCTTAAGGACACAACCTCTCTCTTTCTGGATGTTTGTATGCATATAAATAGTAACTAAAAGTTTACGAATGTCCTTTACACACTGAAGAAATGTGTCACTTACCCATAATTCTCCACTCTCCCACTTCCATGCGACTTACTGCACAAGTGTCAGAAGATTTTACATGCGCTCTGTTTTCCTTAGATTTTGTTAGAAGCTTCAGTCATGATGCATATTCAGTTGTGGGGAGGTGGGAGAAACAGTACTTCAGAGGTAAGTACCTACCTGAAATTCATTTTAGTTCTATAAATGTAAATCTAAAATCAGGTAGACTTACCTATGAAATACTGAAACCCAGAAGGAAAAGGCGGTGGGAACTGATGAACATGAAAAGAAAACTAAAATATTAAACTACAAGTTACAAGGCAGGAAGATAACAATTTAGACTATAAAAATATGTAGACAAGCAGAGTTAGAGTAGAATACTTCTCTTATGTCTTGTAAATAAAGCATTTAGTATATTTTATTCAAGCAATGCAGACACTGAGTATAAACACAGTGCTTCATCATAATGACCTGTTCCAATGAATGGTATGTTTGTTTGTTAGTTATGAATTTTGTGCAAAGTTACACGAGGGTTATCTGTGATAGCCATTCCTAATTTAGCAGTGAAAGACTAAAAGAAAGGCAGCTATTCATCACCACCCAACACCAACTCTTGGGCTACTCTTTTATCAACGAGTAGTGGGATTGACTGTCACATTATAACACTCCCATGGCTGAAAGGGCAAGCATGTTTGGTGGGATGGTGATTGCTAGTTGAGCGCCCTAACCACCTGGCCATGCCAACCAATGAATGGAAGGAGTTGCTACATATAATGTTACGGTAGTGTGTTTTTTTCTTTTTAATACAACAAATTTTGTTACAAATGTGGCCATTATACAAATAAAAAAATCGAATTTTCCACATGGTTGAGATAAAACTTTCTCCAAACTTTGTACATTTGTTACTGTGTTAAACTTGTAACAGTTTTCTTTATTACACACTTTAACCCATTTCTGCACTGTACAAGCTTATCTTATCTCAAATTATTTGATGTCTTCTCATTGAAGAAATTTCTGTAGCTTCCAAACAAATATAATTTAACACGCAAGTATTTTCATAATTCATAAAGAAAAAAGTTTACAAAAAAACTTATTCTTGTGTATTTACTCTGCTGTGACGTGATAGTCAAATTCTTGGTCTATCCAATCATTATTTAAGCTTATTTTATAGCTTAAATAATATATATATATATATATATTCTTGTGTATTTACTCTGCTGTGACGTGATAGTCAAATTCTTGGTCTATCCAATCATTATTTAAGCTTATTTTATAGCCGTTTCCAAAACTGTGTTTTGTAAGTAAATTATCAAACCACTTTATGTGGCACTATAACAAGGTGGAAACTAAAAACCTGTATAATAACTCAGGGAAATGCTTGAAAACTAAAAAATGTGTGATGTATTCTTGAGGAGTGATAGGTTCTTGCAGAAGATAAGATATTCTTTGGGATGGGCAGAGAAATTCTATGTCCAACTAGACCTTTACTAGCACTGCATATAAATCTATATTATTGTCATTGTTTAATTTACCTATAGCTTTAATAATAAAATTAAATAAAAAGCCTACATATTTATTATGATTAGCTCAGTTGGGTAATAATCCAGCATTTTCAAAGCTTACAACTTTATTTCTATTAATGTGATTGATATGTAAAAAAAAGAACAGTTAAAAACAAACATTTTAAATTAAAATTAAGATAACTATAGTTATTTATAATCATATTTAAAAAATAATATGAGGTCTACATCTAAATTCATATTTTAATGTTCATAAAAATGATGCCTGTTTTCAATAACAATTTTAAAATCATTACTTAAACAGTAATACCACTTGTGTTTTGTTTTTTTGCAACAGGTAGAAAATAAAAATTCTATGTTCAACTAGACTTCTATTAGCACTAATAGATTTATATTACTCTCATTGTGAAACAATTAGATAAAAAAAATTAAAATTATTAATAACACAAGACTATTATTGTATTAGCTACTAACATACAGTAGAAATACTTCTTGTAAAGCTTCTTTACAATGGTTGCATTGAATGAGTATTAGAGCTAGAAAATAACTAAGTATTAATTTGGTAAATACAATCACATTCCACTATTATCACATGGGAGCCACTATGGTTCATAGTTGAATGGGATGTATATTTTACGTCATAATTTTGCAAGAGGACACAGAAAAAGCCACGAAATTGACAGGAAGAATCAAAATTGTATCCTATTCTGTCAGCAAGATTAATGATAACCTATTAACCCACTGAAATGTGAAAAATTGTGAACATTTCATTAATTAAATCTAAATAGGTTATAATTCATTATAGCCATATTTAGAAAAAAAATTATAAAGGATACACTAATTTGTATCTTAGCAATCAAAACAAAATATCTGTTTTCCAAAAATTAAAAAAACTGGTACTTTATACTGTGATACCACTCATGTTCTAGTATATTTTGGATATGAACAATACAAAAAAATATCTTTCTCACAATAATATCTAACTTTTAAACATTGAAAATCAGTTCTGTAACAAGCCTAAGTTACAAGAGCTGCAGATGTCCTATGCAATACTATCTTTGATGAAAACAAACCTCTGAAGTCTACATACATTGTTAATGTCTAGAAAAATTCAAGGTGTAAAAATTTACCATGGCAATATTTAATTAATGTTCATATTCTTGTATTACCTTGGAAAAAAATCAGTTACTGGGTAAGCATGTAACTTTATTGCTGTAGACTCTGGCTGTGTTGATTTTGGAAAGAAAAAAGTGGTTTTCATAGTTCATAGACCAATCAAATACAAACACTAACATCTAATGTTTCTTAATGATAATATATGGTACTGTAAGGATGTCTGTCCATTTCTTTTAATAATTTCTGAAGAACAGAATGGAATGGAAGCCAAATTCCCTGTACTACTCCATTAAATATTGCAGCTACATAATTATAAGATAGAAAGATAACAAAATGTAAAAAAAAACAGTAAATTTACACTTTATTTAATATTTAGGTAGACCAAGAGTTGATGATGGATGTTGTCAGCCAGTTGCCTTTCTTCTCGTCAGTAGTTCAAAATTAGTGACAATGGCAGGTAACCTTAGTAGTTTTGCCACAACAAAGACAGAACAAACAAGTTTGGAGGAAATGGGAATGAATCAAACCAGATACCCTCAAACCTTCCCTTCAAATCACCAAGCCATGCTGGCCTAAAGCTGTACAAACTTGACACAAAACAAAATTCGGTTTCAATATCTCCAGTTGGCAGAGCACAGATAGCTTTGTGCTTAACAACAAGCAAACATAATGTCAATATCTGAATTAGTTATATATTTGGAATAATCCAAAATAGAAATAATTGGGAACTCCAATTTCAATCAGTTAAATATTGTTTGTGAAAATCTATTGTTGGAATAATTAAAAACAATAATATTCAGAAACACTAACTTTGATTAGTTGATCATTTTCATAACATTAATCAGTTTAATCAAAATTTTGATTAAGTGACACTGACTAGTGTAATCATTGCTAATAGGTAATTGATTATATCAATTCAATTATCCAAAACTAGTGAAGATACAGAATGCCAAAGCAAGACTGAAAAGGGAGGGCCATAAACTGATAAGCTACTCTACCACATGAAAAACGGTGATGAACAAATCAGAACATGTAAATAAGCATCTTTGAAATTCCAATTCCTCAGCGAACAATTTTGACAAAGGTTTTTTCTTAAGATTTTTATAGGTTCCACCTAGAAAGTAGGACATGTAAATAAGCATCTTTGAAATCCTCATCCAAAAATTTTGACAAAGGTTTTTTTTCTTAAGATTTTTATAGGTTCCACCTAGAAAGTAGAAATATCTAGATTAGAAATTATGTAGATGAGAAAGATCTAAGCTCAATCTCTAATCTTCTGTTATCTTTGGCACCATCAAAATATGAGAGTAAAAAACTCAGAGGAGTACAACATCAATATCCCCTTTTTGTGGAAAAGATTTGAAACTGCCAGATCAAAAAATTGAAAAGAAACTGGAAGAGTTAACTTTTTATGATGAATAGAGAATTGAAGAATATGATGTGACACCAAATTTCCAGATGGAGGAGTCATTGAGAACAGTCAATAAGCGAGTCATAAAGACACCTTGCTTCCATCAACACTATGCAACATTAAAAGCAGTGCTCTAGATAATTTTGCCTCTGTCAGTAACTTCCAAAGGTGGTCACTAATTCAGTATCAGAGACAAGCTTCTGTATGCTGGGTTATGTAGCAATTGCATTATTTATAAGAGATTGAATATGTCAATATTATCTTAAATTATTTAGCCTCAAAAAAGTACTACAAAAACACACAAACAATTTACATATTTATTTTCTTAATTCTCAGTTTGTATGGTTGTGAAATCCTCATCCTTCTTCTCTTCTTAGCACTGTCCCACATTTTAACTACAGGACTGAGATCATAAAATGAGATTTCTAGACCTAACATTACAATTCTTATTAAACTGTATCTTTTCAGCCTTCATGGAGCATATGAATTTTGTCTTGAGCCTAATTCATACAGAAAAAAAACTCTTTAAATATCAATACTTATTACACAAAAGTATCTAGCTAGTTGACACAATTTTGACCACCACGCAGTTTAATAACCATTTTACATAAATGCTCAGTTTTTGGGTTTTT